TCCTTCCTTCCTTCCTTCCTTCCTTCCTTCCTTCCTTCCTTCCTTCCCTCCTTTCTATCTCATGCAATGAAAAGATAGGGAGACCAGAGGCAGGAGGGCTGAATCCCCTTTTCCTATGCATCCTCTTATCTTGTTGCTTCTTGGTCACTTGCCCCTAGAAAGAAGCAATGAAAGAATCCTGCTGGGGACAGGGCACATCAGTCCCAAACATATTGGAGGCAGGGAGAGAAACTGATGGCCAAGGAAGCCTGCTTAGGAGGGGGAGGGTAGGTGGTGGGGAAGGACTGGGATCTACTACGAGAAGAAAGTTCCTAGGGTAAAAAAGAGGATTCAGGAAGATTAAAATGAAAAACAACCACAAAAAAAAAAAACCCTTTACCCCTCCACTATCCTCCCCCCCATTACTTCTCCCTCTCCCAGGAATCTGGCTAGAATCCCATACTGTGAGCAAAGGATTTAGTCATCACGAACATTTAAAACCACAACAGTCTTCTGAGGGAAAAATTAGATTCTTTCAGACAGGTTGTGGATTCCTAAATTGGGGGCAGGGGAGAAGGGTATAAGGAAGGGTGGGAAAGTGAAAGGCCTGGTCCAGTAGGACTGAGTCTAGGGGGAGGAAGAAGGTCATAAGCTCTTGGACGGCCTTGATCGTAGGATCAGTGATTTAGAACTGGAAGGACCTTGGAGGCCACTGAGTCCACCCTTCTTGTTCTACATTTAAGAAACCTTAGGCACAGAGAGATTAAGTATAGCAGCTGGGAGGGTTTGGTTTTTTTTTTTGATAGATACAAATAAGTAAAGTGAGGTCCAGAGAGTGGAAGTGGCTTGCTCAAGGTCATACAGCTATTAAATGCTTAAGGTCTGCATGTATAGGTTATTCTACCCCAAGCTCATTTTCTGTTCCTTTTCTTTTCTTCTCTTCCTTTTTTTCTTTTCCAAATTCTATCCATTCTGGAAGTCAAGAGACTTAAATTTGAGTCCCAGTTTTGCTCACAGGACTTATAGCTCATCAAAAGATATTGAAGCACACAGAGAGAGGAATGACTTGTCCAAGATCATACCTTATGAGGTCACACACAGAGCTGAGGTTCAGACCTAGGTCTTCAGACTCTAAATTCAATGCTCCTTTCACAAGTGGCATCAGGCTGCCTTAGGGAAGATCATGGGATCATAGATTAGAGTTCATTTAGTCCATTTTACAGATGAGAAGACTGATGCTTGGAGAGCTGAACATGTAACTTGTCCAAGATTACACTGGGAGGGATTTGAACCTAGATTCTCCAAATTCACCCTGTCTTCCACTATATCACGATTCTTCCAGAAGGGAATGGAGTCATTTCCAATCATTAGCCTTGTGAGGAATTTAGCTCAGCATGAGGACTGGGGTGGAGCAGGTCTCTGGCACTTCATTAGTGTAAAATGGGGTACCCTGGTGAGACACTGGAGAGAGCTGAAGTTCTGAAAAGACAAGAAATTTCAAAAAACAAAGGGTAAAACTTTCAGGTACATAATAGACATTCCCTACCCTAGAAAGAATAAGAGGATTGAATAGCTTAATTGCTTATGGAGAGGCCAGTGAAACTATGAACTTGTCTATAGGGTGCAGAATACAGTCCTACCTTTGTCCAAACCTTCCATATGTATATGTATGTGTATGTGCATGTGCATGTGTATGTGCATGTATATATGTACACACATATATACATAAACACACATACTCACATGTATACATATAGATACAGTATATATATATATATATATAAAATATATGTATATATGTATGTATGTGTATGTATGTAGGATTCCCAAAGGAGTATGGGGGGTGGAACTAACTGAATGGACACATCACCTGAATGCTACAAGCAATGACTTCCTTAGGGAAGGAACTTTGGAGCAAGAAAGAAGAGAAAAACCCAGATTTCTCTTATCTCCTGCCTGGAGGTGACAAATAGCCTCAGAGTTGAAACTGAGGCTCTGAGAGTCAGACTTCTATTGAGCTTGCTGCCCTAGAAGGAGCCGGGTAGCACTTCAGTTGAAGAGAAGGCAGTAAGGAGCACCTTGCCAAGTCAGTAACTGCCCATCAGTGAATGAGCTGCTGTACTGTGAGTGGCTGAGCAACCTGTCCATCCCATCCTGACAGCAGCTGCCCAGTGCAGCCACTGACCAGTGGCATGGATGTGTTACTGATTTGTCATCGCTGAAGGGGTTCAGCCAGAAGCTGGGTGACCACTTTAGGGAAGGGTTGTAGAAGGATTCCATTGTAGTTATGTGTTGGACCAGACGCCCTTAAGCATTTTCTAGCTCCAGGATTCTGAGTTCCAATGAACTGCGTAAGTATTGTAGATTATTGTCAGAACTATGACTTAGCATTTTCCCACCTAGGGCAAATACCAGAAGAAAAACCTGCTGTTGAGGATGTATATATGAATATGTACATGTATGTATAGGGAAGAGGGAGATTTTGCCCCCTGCACTGGAAACAGGGCTCCTAGGACCCCATCAGGAACCTGCTGCTGGGAGGCAGGCAGCATGGAGGAGGTGCTCACCTGAGTCCAACATCTGATAGATTTTAACCAGTCATGTTTGCTAACAAGGTACTAAGCTCTGTTGTTTATATTATGCTGAAGGATTGTGGTAAATTGGGAAACAGTGCTGGATTTGGAGTCAGAAACCCTGGGCTTGAATCCCAGCTCTCCCACTTACTCTCTGTATGACCTTGTGAACCTCATTTGTAAAATGAACAAGATGGGCTAATAATATTGGCTAACATTTATATAGTGCTTTAAGGTTTACAAAACTCTATTTTGTTTGAAGGAGGTTATTATCTCCATTTAGCAGATGAGGAAACTGAGGCACAGAGGTTAAATGACTTGCCCAGGATAACGCAAATGTCATAGGCAGCATTCAAACTCAGGTTTTCCTTGACTCCAAGTCTCAGTTGTAGCTCAGACTATTGCCTAATTTGATACTGGGCCACTGGTGTTTTTTGTTGTCTAGATATGCTTTATATCAATCATTCATAGAAGTCAGACTGATATAGAAAAAAGAGACCTGGGCTAGGAGTCAGAAGACTTAGCTAATTGTAGATAGTCAATTAATAGATAAATTGTGTAATTTAAAAAATTAAATAAAATTTAAAGATAAATAAATCAACAATTGTAGACCTAGCTCCTTATGGATAGACTGTGAAGTTTTTCTTCTTTGAATTTCCAACTTTTTGAACATAATAAGTGACTCTGTAACCATGTAAAATTTTACAGATCAATTTCCCAACTCCTACTCCAACTGACAAATTGAATTGCCCGAAGGCTACCTAGCTTTCTCCCTAAGGATTCCAGAAGTGCCCTTAAGACCTTATGAGGGTTTCCTTAAAGCCATCAATTTAAGCCTCCATCCCTGTGTGGTACCCATAATACCAATCACCAGTGCTACTTAATATATGAGTATCATAGGTACTACTGATTAACACCCCAATATTATATAACCAGTAACACTAATTAGCTCTTACAAAATAATATTTACTGAGAAGATATAACAAGAACAGAAAATACAAACACATTTCCCTGACCTTATTTTCCTATACTACCTTAGTCCCTAGGGAGAATAGTCTCAGACTTAAAGTATTTGCTACAAAGCATTTGCCCCATCAAGTTTACTTCTGAATGAAGCATTGAAAAGGATGAAAGTCACTTCTTCACTTATGGAAACTGGTGTCTCTGCTATCAGGACCAAGCAACTACTGGGCCACATGCCTACAGGTCATCTTTGCTAGGCTCAGGGGGCTACCAGGAAACTTTTATGCACTCCAGATCCTGGACCGGATCTCACAAGATCTAGTGTTGCCTTGTCTGTTGCATCTCTGTCATCCATCCACCTAAGAGTAGAAAAGAACATTTACAAAGAGGCAAAGAGACAGAGACACCGTGTTCATACCCACGTGTTTGCCAAGGTAGAGAGATAGGCAGCCATCCTTAGGAAGCCACTGCTTCCACTGCTACCACCTCTCTCCCAACCAGGAGGCTTACCACAATCTGACTGGATCACTGCCAGGCAAGAGAGAGGTCAGTTTGACTGGTTAATATTTTTGTTTGCACACCCAGCTCTGATTCAGTAACCAGTTAAAGGCTCCACTTTGGCATATAGTAAGTGGTCAAAACAGTCATAGAATACCTCTGCATGCTCCAAAATCCATGTGAAGGATTGCATCAGCCAGATCATACCAGGCATGTTCACAAGGATCAGATTATTATTGGACAGTCATATGTTAAATTGACTTTAATTGAATCCTTGTTCTACCACTAAATAGCCCTATGTGACCTTGAATAAGTTACTTTCCCTCAATTTCTTTTTTTTTACTTTTTTTGTTAATTTTTTTTGATTTATCAATAATCACTTCCGTATGCTTTTGAGTTTAAAATTTTTCTTCCCCCTTCCTCCCCACCACCCTCCCCAAGATGGCGCACAATCTGATATAAGCTATAAATGTATAGTTATTAAATATATTTTCACATTAGTGATGTTGTAAGTAGAAATTAAAACCAATAGGAGGAACCATCAGAAAGAGGAAACAAAACTCAACAGAAGAGAAAAAAATAGCAATTCGGCTTCCATTGTTCTTTCTTTGGGTGTGGATAGCATTTTCCATCACAAGGCCTCTGGAGATGTCTTAGATCCTTGTACTGCCAGGAAGGGTTAAGTTTATCAATATTAGTCATCATGCAACGTGGCTGTTATTGTGTACAACATTCTCTTGGTTCTGCTCACTTCACTCAGCATCAGACCATACAAGTCTTTCCAGGTTTTTCTGAAGTCAGCCTGTTCATCATTTCTTATAGCACAATAGTATACCGTCACATTCATATACCACACCTTGCTCAGCCATTCCCCAGTTGATGGGCATTCTCTCAATTTCCAATTCTTTGCCACCACAGAAAGAGCTGCTATGAATATTTTTGTACATGTAGGTCCTTTTCCCGTTTGTGTGATCTCTTTGGGATATAGCCCTAGAAGTGCTATTGCTGGGTCAAAGGGTATGCACATTTTTATAGCCCTTTGGGCATAGTTCCAAATTGCTCTCCAAAATGGGTGGATCATTTCACAACTCCACCAACAATGCAATAGTGTTCCAATTTTCCCACATTTTCTCCAACATTTAACATTTTCCTGATTTGTCATGTTGGCCATTCTGATAGGTATGATGTGGTACCTCAGAGTTGTTTTGATTTGCATTTCTCCAATCAATAGTGATTTAGAGCATTTTTTCATATGACTATAGATGGCTTTAATTTCTTCATCTGAGAACTGGCTGTTCATATCCTTTGACCATTTATCGATTGGGGAATGATTTGTATTCTTATAAATTTGACTTAGTTCTCTATATATTTTAGAAATGAGGCTCTTATCAGAGAGACTAGTTGTAAAAATTCTTTCCCAATTTTCTACCTTCCTTCTAATCTTGGTTGCATTGGCTTTGTATGTGGAAAAACTCTTCAAGTTAATGTAATCAAAATTATCTATTTTGCTTTTTGTAATGTTCTCTATCTCCTGTTTGGTCATGAATTCTTCTGTTCTCTATAGATCTGACAGGTAAACTATTCCTTGCTCTCCCAGCTTGCTTATAGTATCAGCCTTTGTATCTAAATCATGAACCCATTTTGACTTTATTTTGGTATATGGTGTGAGATTTTGGTCTATGCATAGTTTCTGCCATACTCTTCTCCAGTTTTCCCAGCAGTTTTTCTTCATAGATTCATAGCAATTTCTTCATAGATAAAATTATTGGGTTGGACTGCATGATCTCTAAGGTCTATTCCATTTCTAAATTCAATTCAATATCCTCATAAGATAACTGTCGATTGTTTTCTAAACATATAGATAGCTCAGCTTGCATGTGGTATGGATAGATATCTTGTCTGAGATATCTATCCGTCTTTTTCCAAAGGGGACTTCAATTTTTGTCTTTGTGGGGAGTAGGAGGAGAACTATGGCTAGGCTCTCGCTCCTTCCCTCACCTGTCTCCAAGAAGGCTATTGGGCTAGAATTTCAACTAACCACCATACCTCAAATACTGATAGTCTAGGGTTAGCATACTTCGTGGGGTTCCGGACAAATGCCACTTTTCACTGAGTACTCTTAAGGGGACAGCAATGCTTAGTTTACTCTTGCCTCTTAGCTCCCTTCCACCAAATGCTGGCTGCACAAAAGATCGTTATAAATAGCCAGTACACATCTTTATCAAAGTAAGCAGTAAAGGGAAATTAGAGAAGTCATTCAGATTAAAATAGACCAAAGAAGGCACAAAAATAAAAGAGCTCTTCAGCTGAGAGTGAGATAAAATCTTAGCTGCCAAGGAGAGAGAATACTCTCAGTAAGGGGAATCTGCTCTTAACAGTCTCTATTGTTGCAAATGCTGGAAGTCAAGGGACACGTTGGGGGCCAGCTCCCCACATGTCGGCTTCTCCAAGGGAGGTCTCTATCTGGTGCTCAAAAGTCTGAACTGGCCTCTCTCGACCACTTTTCTCTAAGACCCCTATCTTTGAAATCCCCCTCACACAGGTACATAGTGTTGTAGCTCAGCATTCTTTTGGTCAATTAGGAATCATGTCCCTTTAATTACTACCTTTCTACTGCTCCGCTTCCCAAATATTTTCACAGTTCTCATTTCATTTTGTCCTTACAACATTGGGAGGAAAGGCAGGGGAGCTTAGTCTCCTTATTTTATATACGAGAAACCTGAGGCTAAAACAGAGAGAGAGAGAGAGAGAGAGAGAGAGAGAGAAAGAGACAGAGAGACACACAGAGACAGAGACGGAGAGGCAGAGACAGAGAGAGAGGCATAGACAGAGATACACACACAGATAGAGAGACAGAGAGAGGCAGAGGCAGATGGAGACAGAAACAGACAGACAGACAGACAGACACAAACACACACACATACACACACAGGAGGACTTGGTGAGGGTCTCACAGATAATCAGTGGCAGAACCAAGACCCAAATTCGGGTCATCTGATTTCTAATCCAGGACACTTTATACTAAAGCTGCCTCAGGAGACTGTAGAAATGGGAGTTACCGCCATTGATCAGTTTTCCTGATATTCCTTTCCTGAAACCAAGTGACCGAGTTCCTTGTCTTTACAGGTGTGTGCCCAGCTCTGCCGGATGCCATGTACCTGCCCCTGGTTACCCCCACGCTGCCCTCCTGGGGCACCCCTAGTCCTGGATGGCTGTGGCTGCTGCAGGGTATGTGCTCGGAGGCTGGGGGAGCCCTGTGACCAGCTCAACATCTGTGACCAGAGCCAGGGGCTGGTATGCAACTACAGTGCCACTCTGGGGAACAGGAGAGGCACCTGCAACTGTAAGCATGTCTGTGAGCCTAGAGGGGGTGAGGGTGGGAGGCAGGCTAGGTATAAAGGATTGGAGTTCCCTCTAGGGCCAGTCCTTAACAAATGAACTTCCTTCCTCTGAGAGCAGAGGCACTGGGGACATTTGGAAGTTGTCCAGACTCCCTCTGACACAGCACAAGCTGCCTTGGTCTTGGCCTTTTGAGTCATTTCCTGGGTAGGACAGTGTCTGGGCTAGGGTTGCCCTAATTGAAATCACAGGAGACAGAGGGAGATCTCAGGCCAAAAAATCTTATGCTGTTAGATCTAGAAGGGTCCTAAGAACATAAAATATAGAATGATAGACCTGGACAAAAATTTAGAAATCATCTAGTTCAACTCCATCATCAGAAAGAAAGTGAAGTGAACTGATCTATCCATGTTCACACAGCCAAAAAGTGTCAGAGCCAAGATTCAAACCTAGCACTCTTGAACTCCAAGTTGTATAATTTCCACATTAAACCAGGCTTCTAAAAGACTTCTTGAGGAGGTCAGAAGAGGGAGACATCACTGTGGATTGAGGGTGGCCAAGGAAGGGTTTGTGGAGGAGGTAGAGCTTGAGGTGGGCCATGATGGATGAGTAAGATCTGGCTAGGCATATGGGCATGGAGCGGAGGGCATTTCAGGCAGTGACAAAGAAATTGGGATAGAAAAGAAGTCAACAGCTCAGCTGTATAAAGTAAACCCATATGCTAATCAGGAGATTATCTTCATATGCAGTTATAAGGAAATAGTTTATAATAAAGAGTTACAAGGGGTCCCACAACCAGCCAGCCCCTCTAGCACCTACCTGCCTTGGAAACTGGCCTAGTTCTGCTGAGGATCAAGTAACTTAAATTAAAAATTTAAATCATTTTTAGAGATAGAAAGGATGTCAGATGACAGACTTTTAGAGATGGAAGGGTACCAAAACATCATAGCTTAGAACTAGAAAGGACCTCAGGGGCCATTTAGTTTAATCTCATTTTATAGAGGAGTCAGGTAACCTCTCTGCAGTTTCCTTGAAATGTATTTCTGTACTCAGCTCTCCTCCCTCTCCCTTCCCCCACCCCTCCTTTCCTTCCTCTTCCGTTCTCCTTCCCCCCTCCCTTCTCTCTGTCTCTCTCTTTCCCCACCTCTGTATTCTTCTCTCCTTTGACCAGATTAGATGAGAGTGAGTTTCAAGGGACAGCCACTCTTCTCACCCCCTCCTTGTCTGCATAAATGTTTATTCTTGCATCTTGATTACTTGAAATAGTTTTTCCTAACTTTCCTTTCCCTTCCCCCCAACCTAGTACATTCCTTTTCCCTTCTTTCCATTCTTCTCTTAAGATCATCAAGGCATAAGAGAATCCCTCAGGCCTTATCTAATTAGGCTCCCTCTAAGAGCCCAGAGGATAATAGGGTTCAGAGGGGATGTATATATCATTTCCCCATATCGGAACATAAACAATTTTTCCTTATTCAGTACCTTTTGATGACTTATTCTTGTTTACCTTTTTCTGTTTCTCTTAACTCCTGTGTTTGAACTTCAAAGATTCTATGCAATTCTGATCTTTTCATCAGGAATGCTTGTAAGTACTCTATTTCATTAAAAATTCATGTTTTCCCATTATATTTAGTTTTGTGGGTAAGTTATTCTTGGCTGTAAGCCCATATGCTTTTCCTTCTGAAATATTGTATTCTGAGCTCTCAGCTGTTTTATGGTGTGATCCTGACTGTGGTTCCTATGTACCTGAATTCTTTCTTTTTGGCTGCTTGTAGTATTTTTTCCTTGACCTGAAAACTCTGGATTTGGGCTATAAAGTTCCTGAGAGTTTTCATTTTGGGGTTTCTTTCAGGAGCTGACCAGTGAATTCTTTCAATTTTATTTTGCCCTCTAGTTCTAAGAGACTTGGGAAGTTTCTTTTAAGATTTTTTTGCTATATGATGTCTAGGTTCTTTAGTGTGTGTGTGTTGTGTAGGTAGTCTAAGAGTTCTTAACTTTTTTCTTCTTGATCTGTTTTCCAAGTCAGGTGGGTTTATTTTTTTCGCCATGAAATATCTTACATTTTCTTCTACTTTTCACTCTTTTGACTTTGTTTTAATATTTCCTGTTGGCTCATAAAGCCATTGGCTTCTATTCAGTCCATTTTAATTTTCAAGGAGTTTGTCACTTGGGCAAGGTAAATAAGTGCCAAGTGATTAATTCTGTTCGCAATTCTTTCTACAATAGCCCTCATTTCTTTTCCAACATTTTCCTCTAGCTCTTTCATTTTATTTATAAAAACATTTTAAAACTTTTTTTTTCTAAAAAAAACAAAACTCTGGTTCATTTCTTCCAGGAATTCTAGTTGAATCTGGGCCCAAGCTATATTTTTCTTTAATCTTTTCTTGCAGATGTTTTGGAGTCATTCTCTTCTCTTAAGCACTATAACAGTTATTTTATTTTATTTTATTTTATTTTATTTTATTTGATTGTGCTCATTCTTCCAGCCGACTTCCTGATAGCAGACTTGACTTATGGGCTAGGCTCTGCTACACTTCCAGAGGGAAGGTCTGGGCTTTTTCTGTTGCTACTTTCCTGCTGTATTGAGTATTGTATAATTCCAGGCTCTCAGGGACAACTCATGGGGACCTGAAAGCTTTCAATGCTCTCAAAGGAGTCTGATCCAGGACAAAGTCTGATTGCTGTCACCATTGTCTAAACTCTGCAAGCTCCTGACTTGAGTTTGGGTCTGAGCAAAAGTAAATTGCAGCCAGCTGGAAAGCTTTGCTAATTCAGCATCATGGAACTCCAGCTCCCACTTTGGTCTGGAATTCCCACCCTCATTATAGCTTTGTAGGTTTCAGATTGGGCTAGAAACTGGAACTGAGACCCTACTCTTTGCCTGGGGTCTGAGCCTCACCACTGCTACTTGCTTCTGAGCTTTCTCTTCTCCTCACACTTTCTAGCACCTGCAATAGCTTCTTGCCTGGGAATTCCACCCTGGGTCCAGGTTCTCCTTCTTGACTCTGAACTGGGGCTGTCATACAGCTTGACTAGTGGGTGATAAATGGCCCCTGTTCCTGTTGAGGTGCCCTAGTATGGGTCTGGGGGTGCCCAGATATAAGTCTAGAACCTCTACTTGCCTGGCGCACAGCCACTCCTTGGGCCTTCCCTGTGTTCTCTGTGTGGCATTCCTAGTCAGGCCCTGTCCCCACTGTCCACAGACTTCTCTGTGATGACCTGGGCTGGGAAAAAAAATGACTCCTTGTGACTTTTTCTTGGATTTCCTTAACAGGATTTGGTCTGATACAAAATTTTCTAGATCTGTTTGGAGAAATTTAGGGGCTCGGCTCTTTGTAGTTATTCCTGGTACTACATCAACTGAAGGTACCTCCTGTAATGTAGATTTGATGGGCTTGGAATCTGAAGCCTCGAGTAGCAAGTGATTTACCCAAAGCCACAGAACAAATTAATGGAAGAGCTGGGTCCAGATTCTGGTCTTCTAACTCCTAGTACAATTCTCTGTCTAATGAGGCCAGGGGCCTAAAGGAGGGGTTTTTCTCTGTCAGTGCTCTCGTGCCACACTCATATGTGTTCAAAAGCGCACACATGCACATTCATTATCTGGGAGTATATTGGGTGTCAGGAAGACAGGAAGCCCTTGGGCCCTCAGGTCTGATCGCTGCCCAACTCAGACATGGGAGGAGTGAGCTCCCTGACAGCGGTCACGAAAGGTACCAGGAAAAGCAGCAAAGATTAAAGCTCTCCCCTACCCCCACTGTTTCCTCCACGACTGATTTTCCTAAACAGATGCCACTGTTTACAAGACAATCTCACCGACAAGGAGACAGGAGGTCTCCAGAGACTCATACCCCAGCCCACCTGGAGCAGGAGACTAAGGTGGCAGCCAGCTACTCCTTGGTTTCTAGGAAACGGTGTCCACATGGCATCAGCCCAAAGTTGCGTAGGGTTTGGAGCCCAAACAGCTCTTACCTTCGGGAGACAGCATGTGGGCATGGTGGTAGGGGGACGGTGTGTGCTCCTACCCATCCCCTAGCTCTCTGAGGGAAAGACTGGGAGCCAGACTCCCTCATTCGAATCTGCTCAAATTTGCTTTCCCAACAAGTCTTTATTTAGCACTTGCAACCTGTTTTCTGCAATGGGAGGGAAGCAAGCAAGGTAGTAGGGTAGAAAAATCCCTGAAATTGAAGTCAAATCCTGAATTTGTTCATTTCAGGTCCCCCCCGCCCATATTCCCCTCTTCTCACTTTCCGACTCTTCCCATTTTAATGGCAGATTCCCTGAGGGCTGGATCTCAACCTGCCTCAGTCTTTTCTCCCATTGGGGAATTCTCCTTTCATCATCATCAGTCTCAGCTCCAAGTGACTTCTGGGGAGGAACAATCCCGAATTTGTCACTACTTGTGTGACTTTGGGTACACATCTAACGTCTCTGGGCCTCAATTCATTTATCTGTAAGATGATGGGGTTAGTCCATGATCTCTAACTACTCTCTCAGCTCCGGTTCCGATGATCTAAAGATACAAAAGACAAAGTCCCTTCCCTCAAGCAGGTCATAGATTAGGTGGGAAGACAAATCATATGCATCTGAAACAAGTCCAGAACAAGCCAGCATGAAGTCCTCGATTATGAGAGGCAGAATGGTATGGTGTACTGCATTCTAGTCAGGGGACGTGGGTTTGAATCCTGGCTCGGACACTTACTGGGCAGCTAGGTGGCATGGTGGATAGAGCACTGGGCCTAGAGTTCAAATGTGGCCTCAGATATTTATTACCTGTGTGACCCTGAGCAAGTCACTTAATCCTGTTTGCCTCAGTTCCTCACCTGTAAAATGAGCTGGAGATGGAAATGGCAAGCCATTCAAGTATCTTTGCCAAAAACAAAACAAAACAAAAAACAAAAGGGGTCAAGAAGAGTCAAACACAAGTGAACGACTAAACAACAAAAACAAAATTAATGGGGTCCCACATCGGCTACTCTATTGGCTACCACTATAGGTAGACTGGCAATTACTACACAGGGGCACAACTGCTGATTACGCTGTATAGGTTTGATGGACTGTTCCTTTAAATCTATATGAATGACTGGGTGGGTGTTGGGGTCTTGATTTTTCCCTTCACAGTTCCGGAAGATGATGGCAGCTGTGAGGTGAATGGGAGGACCTACCGGGATGGGGAGACCTTTCAGCCAAGTTGCAAGTTCCAATGCCACTGCTCAGATGGGGGGTTCACTTGCACTCCCCTTTGCAGCGAGGACGTGCGGCTGCCCAGTTGGGACTGTCCCCACCCTAAACGAGTTGATGTCCCTGGGAAGTGCTGCCAGGAATGGGTCTGTGACCAGGGAGTCCAACCTGTTCCAGCAACAGGTAATGTATCAAACCCAGGCCAGCCCCGGCCAAAACCATGGGGTCAGCCAAGTCTGACTCAGCATCCCCTGGTGCCCACGTTCCACTTCCACACCACATTCCTTGCCCTCCACTTTCTTCTCCTCCCCAGCTTTCCCAATGTCTTGGCTCATTCAGGGAGGTGTGGAGCAGTAACACCAAGGCTCCCTTCCTTTTGCTTTGTTATAGCTTCCACTGTGGTTTTCTTAAGCACCTACACTGTACAAAGCTTAGCGGCTAGGTGCTGGGAAAGAGAAAAAGTTTCGATGATTATGGTGATGATGATGATGATGACAATAGTAAGAATTCTCAGCACATTAGGGTTTACAAAATACTTCCCTCACAGCAGTCTGTGATATGAGGATGGGAATACAAGTGTGACTTCCCCCAGTTTATAAATGATGATACCAAGACCCAGAATGGCCAAGTGATTTATGCAGTTATTGGATTTAGAGTTGGAAGGGACTTAGAAGTCATTCAATTCTATTCCATTCAGTCCAACCCCAAACACCTCTCCATTGCATAGCATGTGCCAGACACTATGCTAGGTAGATATTCACAAAAATTAAACAGTTCCTGCCCTCAAGGAGCTTACATTCCTGTTTTTGTTTTTTTTTATTTTTAATGGGGCAATGGGGTTAAGTGAGTTGCCCAGGGTTACGCAGCTAGTAAGTGTTATGTGTCTGAGATCAGATTTGAACTCCGATCCTCCTGACTCCAAGTCCGGAGCTCTATCCACTGTACCACCTAGCTGCCCCGAGGAGCTTACATTCTTCTGGGGGATAAAACATGTATACAGATAATTAATTACAAAGTAATTTGAGGAAGGACAGAACAAAGTTCTGTGTGATGTCAGAGAAGGAAAAAGCTGTTACCTATAGGGTGGGGCAGTGGGAGAAAGGGAAAGAGGAGGATCAGGGAAAATTTCCAGATGGAAAATTGGCATTTAGGTTGGGCCTTCAATGTTTCAATAAGCAGAAGGGAAAGGGGGACACTTCAGCCATAGGAAACAAGATCAGCAAAGATCATGGATTTATAGTTGGAAGAGAGGTCAAGTCCAAATCCCTCATTTTATAGATGAGGAAACTGAAGCTAGAGAGGTATGTACCTTGCCCAGGGTCACACAGCTAATAAGTATCTGAGGTGAGATTTGAACTCAAGTCGACCAAACCACAAGTCTATCCACTATACCATGTGCATAGAGTTGGGAAAGAGTGAACATGTATGGAGAGGATGTCAACTAGTCTATTCTGACTGGAGTATAGATTACATAGAGGGATATAGTGAAATATAAGGTTGAAAATACAGGGCTGATTTGGAAAGGCCTTGAATGTTGGATTAAGTTTGAATTTTATCTAGTGGCCAATAGGGAGCCAGTAAAAGTTTCTGAGCAGAGGAATAATAGAAAAAAAAAAGAGATCGATGTGTAAGGAAGATATCTGGCATTATATGAAGGAAAGATTGGAGGGAGAGTGACTGGAGCAGGGTCAGGGAGTCTTGTTCTGAAACCATTATGACGGACCAAGCTAAGGATGGTTGCATGGAGGGGAGAGGCAAGAGTCAAGAAGGCAGAGAATGAATTAGTGTAATTCTCTATGTCCAATAACTCCCCACAATCTTATACTCTCCTAAAAGTCTTGCCACATCCCTATTTGAACATAGAGAGACAGGAAGGGCCTGGTAGTAGAGCTGGGACAAAGCATTTGTGAGGCTTGACCAGGTACGAAAATTTCTCCATGTGTGTTACTGGCCATTGGAGCCTTTAATGTGACATGCTACAACACAAGCAATCTGACTTAATCCAAAATCAATCCCTACAGCCCACAGAGATGGGGATCGTGCTGGTGCTGTAGAGGCATTTCCATGTGTCCCTCATTGTGCTGGATGGTGCGCCCTAGCTGGCTGCCTATGCCCGGTCCTGGCTCTGACTGGGCTAAAGTTGAGTTTCAAAGAAATTGCTGATGCAATGTCTCATGCTTTCTTCCTGTTCAGTGCCCCGGTTCCTGGGACCTCCAGCACCATTGTCCCCTCGATTTGCCTGCCAGGAATGGAGCACATTGTGGGGCCCCTGTTCTGCCACCTGTGGGCTGGGTGTGGCCACCCGGGTGACCAATCAGAATCCACTCTGCCGGCTGGAGATGCAGCATCGTCTGTGCCTGCTCAGGGCCTGTCCTCCTTTACGAGTTCCTTACCACAGTGTCATTGGTGCCTCTTAAGGGGAGGTGTTCCTGTCTATGCTTGTGGATAGAAGTTTCTGGGGCAAAAGAGATACCAACTTGCCAGGCTTGGAGACTGACTGCCATCATCTCCCACTGAAGCCTCCATCAGGCTGCTCTGACCTATTGCTCCAATACCTTCCTTTGAAGGAGACTCATCCCCTTAAATGGAGGTGCCAATAAGGCTCACCTCTACCTACCAGCCTGTAGAATTCATGCCTAGATTTTGAGCTTCTCCCAGACACCCTAACCAGCCAAGACTCAGTACAGAGATGTGGACACAAGTCACCTTAGGATCACAGAATTTAGGAAAGGGATCTTAGAGATCATCTAGTTCAGGGGTCCTTAACCTGGAATCCATAGGATAGACGTCAAAGGGTCTGTGAACTTAGATGAAAAAAAATTGCTTATTTACTTTCACTAACCTCTAAAATTTAGTGTTTCCCTCTACTAGGAATTTTTTTTAAAAAACACCATTAATCTGAGAAATGGTTTACAGGCTTCATCAGACCACCAAAGGGATCTATGACACAAAAAAAGATTAAGAACTTCTAATCTAGTGCAACCCTCTCATTTTACAGAAGAGGGAACTGAGGCCTGTAGCAAAGAGCTATTTAATCGAATAGACTGTTCTGTTTTCTTTTACATTTATATGTCACTTCATTTTTTGTGTTTCTTTTTTATTTTTTAAACTATTTTATTTTTCCCAATTACATGTAAAGAAAAATTTCAATATACATTTAACAAATTTTTTGAGTTCCAAATTCTTTTGCTCCTCTCCCCTCCCCCTTCCCTGAGACAGTAAACAATTCGACATAGGTTATATGTGTGCAATCATGCTAAACCATATTTCCATGTTAGTCATGTTGTAAAAGAAGACACAGACCAAAAAAAAAAAAAACAACACCCCCCCCCCCCAAAAAAAAGTGAAGAATAGTACGCTTTGATCTGCATTCAAAGTCTGTTAGTTCTTTCTCTGGTTATGGAAAGCACTTTCCATCATGAGTCCTTTAGAATTGAACAGACTGTTCTTAAAAAAAAAAAAACCACAACAACTTTAGTTTCCTATTTGTCCAAGACTGAACATGTGTGCAAAGTCCCAGAATCCCCAAGCAAGAATAAACCTTCATCCATCCTCTCCTGAGCATACCCTAGAAGACAATGGAGGATAGGGACGAATGTCAAGGTTCTTTGGGGAGCGCTAGCACTTTCAATAGGACAAGAACAGTGTGGAATTGAATCAGGTATCCATCACTCAGGGTTCCTGGCTCTTTATGTCTTTGGTACAGTCCCTTTTTCTCATGGGACCTCAGTTTCCCTCTGTAAAATGAGGAAACAAGATCAATAATCTCTATGGTCCCCTCTAACTCCAGTAATCTACTTCTAATGTAGGTGGAGACATGGTTGGCAGCCCCAGAGAAGGCCCTTAGGAGGTCCAGGGTTCAGTGTGCCAAGCCCACACATCATGCTGGGCTCCCAAGGCTGCCATGGAAGTGACCTCTGGGATCCATAGCCCCACCGGGAGTCATGTACAATGCATGAAGAAAGCAGTGCCAATGGTGTTCCTGTCTTTTTACCCTTAGAGATATGCTTGTTCAATGTACTCGTGAGTCTATTAAAGCACTTTGGTGGAAACTCCTGGTGTCTATGATGACCCTTGCCTTTGGTGTCCCGGGGGAAGAGGACACAGGGGGTGGGGATAAATTTAAAGCAGATATAGAAGACTCTACATTCCCAGAAATCAAACCATGCCTGAACTAAATCACATACCAGGCCTTAAAGAACATGAATAAAGATACTTCTGGTTAAATTTTGGTGGGAGATTGTGGGTTTTTTTAGGGGGGGAAATGCTGAAAATCTCAGGTCTTTCTCATACCGAGTCCAGCATATGCTATTCTCTATGCCACCCTAGTTGCCTAACAGTCTAAAGGCCCATGATTCTAAGATTCTAAGATGGCAGCATAAAGGGTTGCCCATAATGTCATGCTATGGAATGGAGGTGGCAAGTTGTACTGTCTAGGGTCAACTTTGGAGTCGGAAAGATCTGAGTTCAAGGTCCACCTCTGAATCCTCCTGGCTCTGTGACTCTGGGCAAATAACTCAACCTCTAAGTGTCCTGGGCAACTCAAACACTGTAAGGTTCAGCCTTGTATTAATGGAGGAAGTTTCCTCATCTGGGAGTTGCCTATACCTATGAAATCATAGGTCCAGTCAAAAAAAAAAAAGGAAGGAAGAAAGAAAAAAAAATGAAAAGAAAGAAAAAAAATAAAGGAGATGAATTATCTGGCTATAGCAAGGGTGTGGCAAAGAGGTCAGCAGGTCTCCCCCTCCTGTTGGGATAACCTACACATATGACCAGCAGAAATTTCTGGCAGCTTGTTCATGCATTCGTTAAACATGTGGTAGAAAAATGCTGGACTTAGTGTCAAGGGATTTGGGTTTAGGTCCCGGCTCAGCTACTTAACACCTGTGTGATCTTAGACAAATCATTTCTGTACTCGAAGCTCTAGAGAAATGAGGGGATTGGGCTAGATGACCCCTGATACCCTCTTCCAAGCTCATTAATCACCTGCACTGAGCTGTGAGAGCTCACATAATGATAGCTTCTATTTCTCAAATTTCTTGGTCTCAGGACTCCTTTACACACTTAAAAACAATTGGGCACCCCTCAAAGAGCTTTTGTTTATGTGTTTTGTATCTATCAATATTTATCATGTTAGAAATGCAAATATCTTAGCATTATGATGAAAATTATTTTGACCTTGAGAATTCCCTGAAAGGGTTTCAGGGATCTCCAGGGATCCCGCACCTCACTTTGAGAATTGCTGCTCCGCTGTTTCAAGATTTTCAAAGCACTTTCCTTGTAACAGCACTCGGAGAAAAGGTGTATAGGTATTATTATCCCCATTTTACAGAATAAGAAATAGATTTTGAGAAGGTAAGTAACTTGCTTGAGGTCCCGCAGTCAGTACTTGGCAGAGCCAGGACTGGATGTAGAGGCGGCATGACAGCAGGAAGGATGCAGGGTTTTGGAGTCAGACGACCTGGGTTTGAATCTGTCTCTACCACTTACTATCTTAGCCAAGTCACTGTACTGCTCTGGGCTTCAGTTTCCTCATCTGTAAAATGAGGATGCTGGACAGCTAGGTGGTGCAGTGGATAGAGTGGTGGGTCTGGAGTCAGGAAGACCGGTCTTCCTGAGTTCAAATTTGGCCTCAGACACTTACTAGCTGTATGATCTTAGACTTAATCCTGTTTGCCTCAGTTCCTCATCCGTCAAATGAGCTGGAGAAGAAAATGGCAAACCACTCCAGGATCTTTGCCAAGAGAACTCCAAATGGGGTCATGAAGAGCCAGACACAAGTGAAACATGACTGAGCTGAAAAAAAAAAATGAAGAGATTAGACCTCTAAGGTCCCTTTCAGCTCTGTATCTGACTTATCAGCCCATCTCCAGATTCCAAGATCTGTGCTGGTACTATACCATAGAGCCCCATAAATGTCCTTTGCTAAGCATTAGAAGAAATTCAAAGATAAGTAAGATCCAGTCCCTGCCCTCAAGGAGTTTACAATCTAATAGGAAAATTGAGATACGAACACATGTAGGGAAAGGAATTAGACCCATGATTTTATTGGTATAGGGACATCCCAGATGAGGAAACTCCCTCTACCAATGCAGGTCAACACCTTCTCTAAAATTTATAGTCATAGATGTTGTCTGGAGCACTACGAGGTTGTAACTTGTGCTACATAGCCAGTATGAGTTAGAGGTAGGACCTAAAGTCAGGTATTCCTGGCCCCAAGGCCAGCTCTTTAACCATTCTGCCATGCTGCTTCATTGCACACACAACCAAATATGAAGTAGAATGTAACACATGCATTAGAGGTATACAAAGTCAGTGGATCAAGTCCGTGGAAGACTGGCAGCCTAGGTTCCTCTTACTTAGGGTGTGGTGAGGGTTAAGGAGTTTTGTGGGGGAGGAAATTTGAACAAAGAAAATATATTTCTGGGCAGGTTTTTTCTTCTTGGCTTCGTGTGCTCTACATCCAAGTGGAAGAAGCCAACCCCTTCTCCTGAATACGACTAATCACCCCAGTTCCCATGAGGTTTCAGAAGAAGGATGCCCAGTTGAAATAACAGTAAGGGTTACAGAATCAAGGGTAGTAAGCCTTACTGAGAGGCAGCCTGGTGTAATGGTAAGAATACTGGCTTGCAAATTAGGAAACTTGGGTTAAAGTCAGGGCACAGTAAATACTTGCCTTATGACCTTGGCTAAGCCAGAGGATCAGAGGGTTCCAAGCTGAAAGAGACTGCAGAACTCATCCGGTCAGAAACAATCATTTTGCAGAGAAGGATCTAAGTTTCAGGCCAGTGAAGAAACTTGCCCAAAGTCACACAGGAGGTAGGTGGAGTCTCAAAGTTGGGACAGACCTTGGAAGACATATGGTCCAACTTGTACCTGAACAGGAATCCCCTCTACAACATACCAGACAAGTGGTTATCCAGCCTTGACTCAAGACTGCAAGTGGAGAGGAGCCCATGACCATTGAAGGTATCCCATTCCACTTTGGGATAGCTCTAATTGCTGGGGATTTAAAAAAAAAAATCTAACGTCAAGCCTAAGTCTGCTTCTCTGTAATGTCAAACCATCCTCCCAGTTCTGCCCTTTGAAGTTAAATAGAATTTGGTCACTGGTCCTCTGACTCCAAGTCCACTGCTCAAGTCACTGAACCATTAGAACTTTAGTCTTTTATTTTATAAAGTAGAGATACTAACACTTGTGACTAAGTGCTCTGCCTACCCCAGGGGATGATTGAAGGTAGGCAAGAGGGAGCCCCTAGCAGTGTGCCGGTAAATATTTAATAACCAGCCATGAAAAAAAGTATGTATGGCACACTTAAATTTAATACGTATTATTAACATTTTCTTCATCACATTCTTAAGTTTAGACCATAGCAGGCTATGGCTATGCTTTCAAATACTTTTAAATAAAATTTAATTGTATTTTAAAATGTAAAAACTATTCATACCTTAGGGGCCAAGCCACTGTCTACTCCTCATCTAGAAAATCCACAAAAGGATAAAATATGCCCTGATTGTAGTGTTAGCTGATTTCCAACATATAAATGCTCAGACTAAAATCTTAACAGTAGAGTCTCCTGAGTCAATTATTTCCCCCCCGGTCAAATGACAAGGTTTATTGTAACACCAGTACAAGGAGGCGGGCAGGGTTCCTAGTGAACCTGCCTTCTGAGTCAATTTGAGCTGCCTCCTTCTTATCTTGAAGTCAGTGAAGTTCTTTGAGCACATGAAAAAGATGAGCAAATCTGTGTATAAGAAAAACTCTTCTGGTCATGCTATGAAGGATGGTTTGGGGGTAGAGGAGAGTTGGGAAGACCTATTGTAATAGTCCAGGTAATCCTCACTTGAGTAGTGGCAGTAGGAATAGAAATGATGGGATAGAAACATATGAGGCTTACAAGCAATGACAAGCCAAATGTTAGACATAGTAGAGTGAGTGACACAAGAGAAAAGTGGTGAAATCCAAAGGAGGAAAGATGAGTAGCTCCATTCTGGACATGAAGTGTTTAAGGAACTGGTAGGATATTGGAGCTGTCCTCTATACAGCTGGAAATGCCATAGGTCTGATATTCAGAAGACAAGTGAGAACTAGAGATATAAATGGAATGGAATAGAAATG